GGTGTACTGCCAGATTATTTAGAGCGCATTCAGGTGGCATCACACCTCTCTAAAGTTTCTTATCACAGTTGCTGCAGATCCAAAGCTGCCCTCTCCCAATTTCAATCCCCACACAGGGTACTTCACAGTCATCAGTGTACATATGTTTCTCTGAAGCATTTATTAGCTAGTTCTTGATCCTTATAATTCTCTTTTTTACAGTGCAAGGCCTGATATTCAAATAACAACCTCTCGCAGCAGCTACATACAACAACTGGTCCATTCTTAACTTTGGCCAAAAACTGCTGCATTACAAAATCAAATACCTCTATTTTTTTTTGCATTAGTTGCCTCTTCAATTTGTTGCTAGCTGTTAGTCGCTTCTTACAATCTGGATTACCGTGATACCTTTTTGAACTCATGGATTTTACATTCTGCCTATATTTACGTTTGTTAAATGCTCTAACTTTCTCTCTATGTAAAACCTTTAGTCTATACATTATTTTACTTGAATCCTTTATCATCTGATTATGCAATGGGTCTTCATGGTATCTAACCTGAGTATGTCCAATTGCTCTGTTTGTAATCATCATCCTCACAATACCTTTTTCTAAGACCGACTCTTACTCTCTCTTGATAATCTGCATCACTATACTTTTTCATGGACGCATCCCTAATCCTTTGCTGGTACATTGTGTTGCTTTTATAATGCAGTTTCTTTATTGACCTGTATCTCTTTTTTAAATCTGTTGAACGACAGTGCCTACGACTGCTGTCACAAACGAGCTGAGGACCAAAATGCAGAACACGGGAAACCAGGGATAGTCAGTAACCAGCTTTATTGAAGACAATATGCTGGTAGGAGACAAAACGGCAGATAGTCGGCAAAGGGCTGGTCGGGGACAGGCGAGGGTTCCAGGAGAAAGCAGGACGGGAGTCGCAGGTACAGAACGGGTGTCGCAGGTACAGAACGGGTCAGGGAGCAGGCGAGGCAGGCTGGTCAGGGACAGGCAGGGTCGAAACCGGGAGAGCAATCTGGAGGGTAATGCGGGAAAGACTGGCATGCTGCAAAGTACGATCTGGCACTGAGGTGAAAGTGAAGTGGGCCTAAATACTAATGGAGCTGATGGGTGTAACAGAGTGAGAGAGAGAGACAGGGTGTGACTACCAGGTGACTAAGGAATGTTAATGCAGAAAATAGGTGAGTGAGAAAGCAGACTGTGACAACTGCAGCTGTTTGCAACACTCTCTGCATTCTTTTTAACCCCACCCTTCCCAGTACAGATATCAACACTGCTATACATACACCGTGTCTAACGAACCACCCACTTTACACAATTTAAAGCACCTTTGTTTATCATAAGGTATGATACAAAATCATTTTTATCAGTGTTTCAAGTATATTCTTTCTTTTGAAAGCATTGCAATATTACAAGTGTATTTGAGCACCCAGTTACTGTACTGCACATCCTGCTTTTCAAAGTCTATTACACTTTGTGCAGTGTTTTTTTCACTTCATTGCACAAAGGATTAAATTCAAGAGTGATTTTACTTACATCACTCTTTTCCACACAATCTGTCCCCAGCAGACGATGTACCATGCGTTTGTTCCGTAACCCTCCTTTTGCCTCTAGTTGTCCGTCTGACATTGTACAGTCTTGAACATGAAGTATCCACTTTGCAACACCCACAACAACTCTGCAAATTAGGTTGTTTTACACAGCAGTCTCATAATGGTTACCATTGCAGTTTTCCAAATAAACCCCCTGATTAGACAACTGCCCGTTCTCGCAACTATATTTAAGCCAGCGTGGATCACAATATGTGAATATATTAACTCCAAACAATCTGCTGCTGCTTGAATTTCTAATTCTGTTGCCCAACTGCCAACCTCACGCATTTTGGATGTGCTGAGGTATTCTAACATGGAGGAGGTCAAAATACGCTCACAAGTCACAGCATTGCTCTGCATTTGATGAACCACTGCACGCCTAATTATTGTGTGATGCCTTTGTGTACCACACACAGCTTGACTCACTGCTCTGAAGAAACAGTTTCCGGGTCCGTGTACTTTTTGTCAGTTTGATTTTTCGTTTAAACCAAAAGCCAAAAAACGAAAATACCAGCCTTTTTCCGGTTTTTCGTTTTTGATTTAAAACGAAAAAACGGAAAACCAAAGCCGTTTTTCCGTTGTTGTTGTCTGAATAAAAACACGGATAACGAGAAAACCTGACAAAAAAAGTCTGTACGTTTTGTTAGTTTGATTTAACGTTTGAACGAAAAAACGAAAATACCAGCCTTTTTTCGTTTTTTCGTTTTTGATTTAAAACGAAAAAACGGGAAACCAAAGCCGTTTTCCTGTTTATGTTGTCTGAATCAAAAACGGATAACAAGAAGACCTAATAAAAAAAACGGTCTGATTTTGGTTTTTGATAACAACAATTTTCCATTTTGTATTGAAGAATGAAGTAAAGCAGTCCGGTGGACCGGAAGTTAAAGACCATATTTCAAAAATAAAAGACACGAGGATATGCTGTAAAAGTTAAATCCTGGAACCCAGAAGTCTGACGAGGATAAGTTTATCTCTGCATTCACATGCAGATATGCGTTTATAGAGATCAATACAAGTATGCAAGCACTGTGCATAGCTTTATTTAGCTGACTTCCGGTTTGTACTGTGTCGGTAAATCCAGTGTCCAGCTTGCCGTTGTGTGACAACCATAGACTGGTGACAGCGTCATGTTTGTTGCATACCTGCAAGATAAGATAAGAACTATCGCCCTACTTTCACCTGCACCCAGCAGCAAGCGGGAGAACGATATATACAGTCGACCCCTAAAACAGTTCACACAGTAAATGGAACAGTTGTTAATTTGTCCAACATTATGAATTTGATGTTTGTCTAAACTGCTAATTTTATTTTTATTTATTTTGTATGTAACCTTTATTTAACCAGATAAAAGCATTGAGATAGAATCTCATTTGCAATGCTGACCTGGCCAAGAAGGCAGCAACGTTACACATAACACAAACATATAAAATACAGAGAACATAACTAAGAAAACAAAAGACAAAAAAACAGTCACTACATTGTGCACATTAGGACAGTAAGAAGCTGACAGCTGAGTTAGAACAGAAAGACATGCAGGCCATAATCACTCGACGCTCAAAAGAGGAATGTGTGTGTAGGCTTACATGAACTGAAACATTGTCCATTAGTTGATTAATAAACAAGACATTCAAGTCAAAGTTTTAGGCATTTTCATTTGTAGCACGCTGTAAATATGGACTATGAATGAACACATGCAATGTGGAAACACACAAATAGGTTTATTCTCAATACTCATAACAGTATCAGACACAATGACTTTACTGAGAGTGAAGATGACTTGAACATAGTTACTGTATGGTACTGAAGACAACATACAGTATTTACCTCTTCCTCTAACTCTCTCTCCAAAAGTGGCCTCCATTGTTGTGCACAACAAAGTGTTCAAGCTCAGGTTTCTAAGTGATATCATTGGTTACATTGCTTTGAACATGTGCATTCTGGGTGCAGGGGCTTGATAATTGAGTGTGGTATTTCAGTGGCAGTGTTTTGCAAACAACACACAGGCTGTCGGTTTTGAATAACGTGTCAAATGTAAATAAGAGTGTGCAATTATTTGGTTAATCCAGTGTCCAGCTTGTGGCTGTGTGACAACGTCATGTTTGTTGCGATACCTACAAGATTTACCTGTGACAAATGTCAGCGATGTAAACAGCAATGTCGACCTACTTTCACCTGCACCAAGCAGCAAGCGGGAGACATGTTTCAAGTTGTGCTTGTGAAGTTACGTCTACAATTAGGAGGGTGAGTAATTAAGCTTTTATTTCTGTAACGTTAAACTTATTGTTTTTCTTCAACAAGTTTGACTACAGTGAAAGACAGAGGAGGGACAGTATGTGCATTCTTAATGAACATACTTTGTATTTTAGTGTCAGGGTGTTATGCTACAGGTCCATGAGGACAGGCCCCACAGTGAGGTCAGGATGAAGTGTTAGTCTTAGTTACCGTCTGGCTCAACATGTTCCTGGGGATTTGGCTCATTTCAGACAGGTTAGACACAGCCAATAGTAAAACATTAACTTTAATATAACTAGCACAAGGTAGCTACTCCCCAGAAATGGACTGACTGGTCTGTGTGTGCTGCACAGAGGTCACAGTTGTGTTTTGTTCCTGTTCGGTTGTTAGTCATTTTTCTTCGTTCATAGTATACAAGTAAATCAATTCATATCAGTATAAGAAGTTGTAAGTATAGAAAACATTTAGGAACAAATATATGACTTATTTACTCCTTAAAAGAGCACAATGTTATTAAACCAAAATGTTACCCTAAAATAAATAATACAAAGCAAACTGAATACGTATTTATTTTGTTTCTCTTCTTACAGGTGGGGCTGAAAGACTCGACCCCCATTGAGCTGGAGCATCATGGCTGCAGGTGTGACGTGTGTTACTCTCCTGCTCCAGTCACATGACTCCCAGTGGGTCCCCAGTACTCAGCTGTACAGAGCAGAGCAGCAGTGGTACAAACCAAGAACTATGGCAAGTCTAAGAATAATGTCATTGTAATTCAAATACTAAAACTACACACGGGATATTTCTGGTCTTTTGAAGTGGGGTAGTGTGTGGTATATATCCATAATCAGTGTACTACCTACAGTAGTCGTGTGGAGAAACATACAGGAGCCCCGGCACAGCAGAGCCATGCACTGCTGAGGACGTGGGCAGAAGCAACATTTATTTTATCCACCCAAAAAAGCGATATCAGTTTAAGTGTACATTATTTAATGCTTAAACTGAAATCGTATCTTTCAAGTGGACCTTCATCTTTGGATGGATACAATAGGTTTTGCTGCTGTGCTGGTACTCCTGTCTCTCCTACAAACTGGGGTCATGCCAACCGCTGTCTACTGGAGAGTATACACTGACTGGATAAGAACCTCATACAGTCCCACCCAAATAACACACTATCATCTTAAAGTCTCTTGAGGTCACCTAAAGAGGAAAATATACTGATTCAACACATATACAGAGACAGAGACTTGATCCAAAGGACAACAGACCTCTGTGTGTCCTACATTCACAGGTGCCTCAAATGTCTGTATATATATATATATATTACGATTAATGTCAATAAACATGTATGTTGAGAATTATGTCTGGTGTTTCTTAAATCACTGCAGTTGTTCAGAGTAATGAGATACAGATATATAAAGTAATGATCATATTTGTAACCCACTCAAAATCTGATCAAGACAAAACGTTTTTTTTTAGTTCAGTAACATTTAACAACATTCAGTACGAATAACTTTTTTAATGGCTTTATTTAACAATAACAAACACAACTCCACAACTCCCCCTAACCACACAAGATGAACAAACAACCAAAAACAAAGCTCTAACCCCTAATAATATCCCTTAACACTAACCCCTAATAATATCCCTTAACACTAACCCCTAATAATACCCCTTAACACTAACCCCTAATAATACCCCTTAACACATCAATTACTTCTTCCATTCCTGTCACTTCGAAAAGTCTCCCTGGGAAGGAGTCATCCCTACATTTAGGGCAGTGAGGCGAGTTCTCAGTCCATTCAGTAATGCACCTCCGGCACCCAACCAGGCTACGGCAGCATGGTGCCACCACAGGATCTTCCATGACATCTGCAAGAATACATGTGTTTTTATTAGACCAATTTCAAAAAAGTATTGTGATGGTAGTCTCAAGCAGTTTTCATCTGACTCATATTACCTGTTAATGTTACAGTGTGTAATATATATGTTTTCCCATATACTTTAGTAGCTGGGAATATCAGCATCAAATGTTAGATAGTTATTTTTCAAAAATGCAGGCATGTACATTTTATCTACATTATTTTAGTATGTAATAACAATATCTAACTAAAGTCAGCAGTGATTCTCATTTTAATGGGATAACCCTTTAAACTCAGATTTTCCGATGAAGTTCTCTTGTATATCGGTATGTATCTCCGTATGTGTTTTTAAACCCCTTGTTCCATATTGTAGGACTCTAACATCCATGTGTATGTGTGTATCTGCTAGTTGCAGCATCATTGCAGCCACATCACACTTATATTGAGTACAAGTTTCAAGTCGAGATGCCATTGTTTTAAGGCTGCAAGATTAAATCAAACAGAAAATAACTACATGTAATTTATACACATTTCCCTGTAATGCAGCATGTATATATTTTTTTTATTTTCTGAATCCCAGGTATCTGCACTAGAATCTAAAATAATCCTTGTGGCTTTGAACAAAGATGGTCAGTTCAGTGTGTTTGTAATGATGAACCCACTAACGGGACTGACCAGTTTGAAGAGTATAATGCAATGACTTAAATTAGAAAATATTTAGAATATGGCTAGTTTGTGTAGAATTAGTATGCAAGTTACTAACCTCGGCATATAAGGCACTTAAATGTGGCCTTGATGGTGGACACCTGGTCAGTCGTCAAGGCCTTATTGGCCTGGGCGTACCGGCTGAGGTCCCGCAGGGCCTGTGTGATAGCTGGCAGCTCCTCTGCTGCCAGCACCAGCTCCTCCACCTTCTCCACAGTATCGGAATCAATACCACTGGGGGGTTAACAAAAGTGTTAGTTTAGACACAACACATCACACACATTCCCTCTCCACATCAATGATTTTCATCATGTAACGTGTTAATGTTTATTCAGCATAATATAGGTCATCATTAGTTCATGTAACTTATTTATGACTCCACTTTATTTTCCAACTATAGCATTACTACAGTAATTTTCGGACTATAAGCCGCGCCTTTTTTCCCATTTTTCGACCCTGCGGCTTATATAACGGTGCGGCTAATCTATGGATTTTTACAGCTAACGGCCACTAGGGAACCTCCTAAATCTATGGATTTTACAGGTTACAGTCCACCACCTTTAACTCTATGGGCTCTATGACCGGTCCGCGCCCGCCACCTTTAAGCGGCGGGCTCCAGCGGGAAAAGCTGGAGGCCGGAAAACAGTGAGACAGGTAGCGCGCAAAAGTAAAAGTTTAACCGAGAGTGGTACGAGAGACAGAACGAGAGCAAGACAGACAGACATTACGAGAGCGAGACAGTTTGTGCAAAGGAAGTTTTCATGCACAAACCCTGCCGGTACGTGCGCTGGGAGCGCACCGTTTAAGTTTGAAAGTTAAAAAGTTTGTGTGTCTGAAACGCTATGTGATACAGTACAGTTTACACAGCACAGTACATGTTCTGTAGCTACTATTGCACTAAATGGTAACACTTGAATACGTTATGCAAATATGCAACTTGTTTGTTGAAATGTTAAGAAATGGGAGCTTCCTCAAACAGCCATCTCTTTCCCGACAATCCCCTCTGTGCACGAACCCTTACATATGGTAATTAAACATTAAAACACCTGCGGCTTATCGTCCAGTGCGGCTTATATATGTACACATCATTCAATTTAGCTGCTGCGGCTTATATGCAGGTGCGCCTTATAGTCCGAAAATTACGGTATATTGTTTCTGACTGAAATTAGAGAGGTCTCTGTCAATATTTGCTTGTGTTGTCACTTAGTAAGGTGGTGTTCAAACAGGGTATATGCAGGAATCCTGAAGTCAAATGTAATTCCTTTTAAGACCTTTTTTAAGACCCTTTCCATACATTTTAAGACCTCATCGCCACATGGAGTTTTAACTGGTTATATTGGCGACACACTTTACCTCACATTGACTATATACAGTATTGATTGTCCTTCCTCCTTATCTTCCAACCATTTGGACGCAGACTTGCATTTCCCCATGCTTGTTACCTTGTCCTCCTCCTTTTTCTCCTCATCAGCTCCTGATAGGAGCTGATGAGAAGAGCCACCATCTTTCTGGCATTTTGCCTCCAAAACCCCAGACCTAAAAAGAAGATAAAATGTAGTTTTCAAATGACTATTACTTTATCAATTTCAACACATCATTTTTGAAGATTTTTTTTTAGTTTAGACGAAAGGCATAACTAACTCACTTCTCACATAATTGACCTTTCCTGACAGCCAGGAGTGCAACAATTATCAGATTATACCAAATGAAATGACAGGTTATACAATTAAAAGTGAAATCAATAAATAAATCAGCTAATTAGACAAGATCAGAACAATACTTGATATACAAGACATGTAATGAAAAATTATATTAAATAAACGTAAGTAGCATTTCAGTTTTTACAATAACATACCAGTTGTCCCGGCCCCCTCTAGCATTCGGTTCCCCTTCCCGTCACAGAGGACAACCTCCTCCTCTGTGCCCAGGTCAGACTTTATTTTGTCGGTAAAATAAGTCAAAGTCGCATCTCTCTCTGAGAAATCAATGTAGAGATTTCCTCCATCCGTCTGAAGGACTCCATCCTCCACTCTTCCCATACAAATGATCCTATTGAGAGAGACAAAGAGAGTGTGTTATGGACATGAGTAACCCGTTTATGATCGAGTTATTGGAGTATCCCGTTTATGTGTTTGAACATGTAAAAAAAACATATCCCGTTTATGATAAACCCAAATATGATTATCCAGGTTACTAGCACTTAGCTATTTTATGTACCTCTGGAACAAGCTCAACTAGTTATAAATATGTTTATTCTTCACTGTCGGGTCACTCATTACTGGATTAGTGAGATGCATGAGACGGATAAGGACGGGCTGCCTGTCAGGAGAAGGAGAGAGAGCGCTCCGTTTATTATGAGATTTAGATATGCCGGTCTTCAGTTTAAATGGAAGATCCCCATAGCCCCCACCCACCCAATGATTGGCCCCAAAACCCCTGATCGGTGCATCCATTTATCATGTAAACGGGTAATATGAATGTGGAACGGATCCAACCCCCTCACACACACACACACAATTTGGTCTAGGTTAGAACAGACCTGGAAAAATTCTTGACAGCGGCCGCAGGTCCAGCGCGGCCAGCAGAGGCCACAGGCCTTCCCCCAAAGCGGAATAGGTTTGGCTGGGCCGGCTGCGGAGCTGGGTGCCCAGATGAGGATGGTGTGGAGACATCCTCTCCACAAACCTCATAGCGCCCTTCCGTCTCGATGTTGCCCAAGTAGCCCAGGCTGCTTGGCAACAGGACCACACCAGTCTCAGCAATTAAGTAAATGCTCGAGGGTGTCAGCTGCAAATACAATACAATGCTTTATTATTATTAGTGCTGTCAATAGATTACAATATTTAATCGGATTAATCACATTAACTAACACTGAAATTCTGTGATTAATCCGATTAATCACAAGTTTAAAAGAAACATATTTACAAAACAATGCAGGTGTGGAAGAATGAAATGCTAAAAGCAGTTAGAGATCAAGATGTGTTATTATCTTAGTTGTTTCTTTTCACTTAAGGGGGCGGGGGGGTGCTAGTGAATTGTCAAGGGGGGGAGGGGTGCTAGCGAACTGTCAACTGGGGGTTAGGGGTTAGAAATGAACGGCGGGATATCTCTCCCAGTTTAGACGCGGTTTGATTGGCTAGGGCTTGAGCTGTCAGAGCTGTCTTGCCTCTGTTGCATTTACTGAACACGGGAAATTACAGTCCTGCCGTCCTCTCGAGTGTCTTGATGAGGTTCACGTAAAGCACGGTTAATGTATTATATTATTGAGGTGGAATTGTCGGAGCTCCGCACCACCTGCCTGCCGCTAGGGGGTGCTGCAGCGCCCTCAGCACCCCCCTTCCCGTGCCCATGCACACGGTGCAATAAGAAGCTACAGGGACGTTAATCTAACGTCGGTAATATTAACTTTATTTAATACAACATTTGCGGTACAAGATTTAATCATACAGCCCATGTAGTATACTATTTTACAAATGATGAATTACAGCAAACATGTGCAATATATCCATTATTACAGCTCCGTGGGCTGGCAGTAAAGTGATATGGATCCGTTGTTATTGTGCATCCATGGGTAAAGATAAACGCATGTAGTGCTGAACACGTAACATGAACGTGCAGGGGGCTACCCACAATTCAGTTCGGCGAAAAGCGAGGCAACGTGACGTCACCCCATTCAAAGTGAATGGGCAGACGCGTTGGAAAACTTTTTTGAAGCTGTAGTGTGGACGGGCCGTTACTCGGAATCGAGTTTAGCTTCCCAACCCTGCCACAGTGCTCGCTATATGTTCCGCCCCCGTCTAACAGTACAGAAAGCAGCGAGGTGGATTTTGGTACCGAAGCCTACTCCTCAGTCATCCTGTTAGTTTAACTTGCCTGCCTCTTAGTTAATTCCCAGGTGAACATGTACGGTTAACGCGTTAACTCTAATTATTACTACTATAAAGTTACATGAAAATACCACAAATAAGGAAAATGACACACTGAACAATGAGAACAAAAATGTCAACATCTGGTCGTTAAAGTATGACTATGTTCGCCTTAAATATAGCATACTGTCGTGCAATTAAGGCGCAATACGGCTCCTGTTTACAGCAAATATGTGGCATTAACAAACTCCAACAAATACGAGACTAACTTTAGGCGTATACGCTAAATGGTATAAGTGTGGAAAATAATACATTTGAACTTATCCTATTTTGAATGTCTTGGACTGACGTTAAATACAGCAAGTGAGATATACAATTTGAAATATTCTCTTTGGGCGAGGTTGTAACGTTACATTTTTTACTCACCTTAAATATTCTGCCTATGTTCTCCAGCGTGATGTCAACATCACGAATTCGAATCGTCCTAGTTCCCCGCCAGAGGTTCACGTGATCCTGCTCTAACATGTTGGTGTTACAAGTGTGGTCGAGGTCTAGCTGGAAGAATTGTCAACGGTCTCAGCTTGGCGCAAATTAACAGAACTTCGGATTGCCGCTATATTTAACGCGGCCGGAAGTAATCATTTAAAAATGAACTGTTAACTTTTAAAATAGTCTAGCTAAAACATATTTAACTTCCACTTAATTAAACGTCATAAACATTTGAAACATGTGAACATGAAGCTATTATTTTCAATAAAAAATAACTGCAAATTCTAATATATAATGTTATTTTCGGGGGCGGATCTCAACGGACCCCCCTGCAAAATACAAGAAACTCTACTTGGAGGGGTCCAACAGGAGCTAGCCAATGACAGAGACTGCAGCTTTTAAAACTGTCCCAAAGGAGTGGACCAGACTTTAGTGCGCCAACTGCTCTGAATTTGAACGTCACCCACCACCACTGCTGCTGTACGCCTACTCGAACGAGCTGATGGAGTCCAGCCTACAACCTTACCTAGAAATTATTAAAAAAATGTTACATAGTGGCTGTAGTGATGAAAAGATACATCACTACTTGACTTTTGAATGTGGCATGCAAAGAGGAGCATCCATGAGTAACATTCGCCGTTTTTGTAGAGAGCACGGTTTAACAAGACAGCGAGTGACCGACCATGAACTGGAAGCTGCTGTCTTCAATTCAGTAAAAGAGGTAATATTGGGCTACAATATGTTATATGACATTAATGTCCCAGAGATATACATTAAAACAAATGGTAATTGTGTATTTGCGTTTATTATACTATATGTGTGTTATGTACTGTAGCAATTGGCTAACCTGCTACAGACACCTGCCTCCTGTGGGCGACTTCTCCATCCATTATGAATATTATTATTATTATTATACATGTGTGTATATTTATATTTTTGTCATCTTTAACATCATTTTTATAACTAACACTGATAATTACTATCTTATCTTTACCTTAAGACTGGTCCTACCTATGGCCGGAAGATGATGACAGGGTATCTTGCAGCTGCAGGAGTCCATGCATCAGAGGGTCGTGTGGGCCATGTGTTGCGCAACATTCACCAACCATACCATAGGGCACGATGTCAGGTAGGTTTAATCAAATGTAGCGTCATTAGTTATCCACGCTTGAGAGGTAGTTGGATCAATCCAAACAACACAAATGTTGTTATTAATGCTTATTAAATGTAGCCTAGATTATTTGGATGTATGGTTATTGTTATTTCTCAGAAACCCTTGATGAGGCAGCTCATACAAATTAAGTGGAGTGCTTTATATGGAATTGTGATTTTTCTCTAATATTTCAGTATGGTTTACTATACCCTTATAATGAGGTCCTGATGTTTTTTTTGGTCTCTATTTAAGGGAGCCAGGAACCTCAATCCCGTTCCATATACTGCGGCCTATGTTGGTCACAAATTGCACATGGACCAAAATGAGAAATTGGTTATGTTTGGTGTGACTCATGTTCTGGCGATTGATGGCTTCTCCAGCAAAATTGTTGGGCGTTCCACTATGCCTGTGAAGAACAACCTCACTATCTACAATGAGGTTTACAGGTATTTCAAAATACCCGTGTCCAACAAAAAGTACAGAACAACTAACAGCTTGTGGAAATCATCCCCATTTCATGAAGTGCTTTAACAGTTTAAATCCAATTATCTAAATGTTCTGCCTTAAATTGGATTATGAAGTTAAATAAACTTATATTGATCACGCTGTAACAAAAGTACAAAATCAAACCACCATTGTAAATTGTGCATGCCGGTCAGAATATATTGGAGCACAACCGGCTAGTGCAGGGGTGGCCAACCAGTCAGAGGTTAAGAGCCACATTTTTTCTATGTTACTGCAAAGAGCCACATCAAACACACAGTCACTGATACCGCTTGTTTCAGTTTTTTGTTTTCTGGAGACAAGATTTCAACCACGTCACTGATGCATTTTTGTGGCATTGGGATATATATATTTTAAATCCTCTGGAGCAGAGAGAGGAGCTGTGGATTATTGGTATTGATTAATGCATCAGTGTTTCTTAGGGTCAAAAACACTAAACTCACAACTTAAAATGAAAGCGTTTAGTTTATTTAATAAAAGAGCACATGTTCAATGTGAAAAGTGACAGTAGTTATAGATTATTTGCAATTTGGTGCTATATATATATTTAAAAAAAAATGATATATATTTTTTGGGCGCAGCGCCCCTCCAAGACAATGGTAGGGGAAACACTGGATAATGTTTAATCAACGATAGGTTTCCCCCCCTCAAAGGTGATTGGTTCACTGCATCGCAGGTATTATTGTGATTGGCTCTTGGGCCACATCAAAATTAGACGCGCTCGCGCTGTCATCCTCTCATACTGACACCTGACACCACACATACGTGGGGAGATGGGGGAGAGCCGGGACGAAAGTAACACGCGACGAAAATAACGGAGCGATTTTATCCGAGCCCAAACAACTTTGACCGGCCAAATTATGTCAGAATTATCAACATTCAATACTTAACAGACCTACTAAATATCAGGTTTAACTGTCAGGAGTAGCTAGCTAGTGTTGTCACGATACCAACATTTTGGTTTCGATACCAAGTCAAGAATTTCGATTCCGATTCTTTTTCGATACTTTTCTTAAAAAAAGGGAAACAGTCTTAAATGTAATTATTGTGCTTTATTTCACACCAGAACCATAACCATAACACAACCTTTTAAACAATGAGAACAATAAATAAAATAAATGACAAGAATTCGTATTAAATAAAATTAATAAATGTCTTACAGACAGGCCTCATGGTGTCCGTAGGCTTGCCCTCACTGTCAGAGATATAGCTAAAATACATCAAAATGTCGCTTCTGGCGTCTTTTTTGTCAACAAGCCGAGGCGCAGCGGCAGCTGCACTCCCACTTGCAGCCATGCTTCTCGTTTTCTCACATGCTCTGGCAGCTAGCGCGTGCACGAGAGAGGGGAGGGACTTAGAACGTGCTTGAGAGGGGAGGAACTTAGAGCGTGCTTGAGAGGGAGGGACTGCAGGCACGGCTGCAGTGCAGGGATTGGGAGCAGAGTGCTGAACACACGGCTCGAATTAAAACGGCGCTTTCTCACCGGAGTACTTTTCCCCGTCATTCTTAAAGTAGGCCTACCGATAGGCCTAAGAATCGTAACGTTTTTAACGGCAGGGTATCGCGGTATACCTTTCAAGTATCGGTACACCGTGCAACACTAGTCAGGAGTCAGTGTCTCTCCCCCAAACTCACACATTTACAATTCGATATGAACTGAAGAGCCGCATGAAACTAGGCAAAGAGCCGCATGCGGCTCGAGAGCCGCGGGTTGGCCACCCCTGGGCTAGTGTGTCGCAGTGTGGTGTATGGGTTAATGTAAGGTCTCCTCTTATCCCAAAAATATCTACTTCTAGAAGTAACGGGTTTTTGGCCCGGCGCTTGGCCGGTTACCGCTGGTATTATACATTTTGGCGAATGGTTAGGTCAGGTAGCGCGATAGTCTGTAGTGAAGGAGCGCGCTCCCGCTCACGGGAGCCTGCTCGCGCTACGCAGCAAACCGCTGTTTGCTTTTCACCCAACAACGACAACCGACTCACGGAACGCTATGTTGTAGCGTTGATAAACGAAACAATTTAACTAAATTGCTAGTCAAAATACCAATACCACAGGAAACATTTTTTTTAAAACAATATTTTTAGTGGCCCGAGCGGGCAAGTGGAAAGTACGTTATGCTGGCCCGGGGTGTCTAAATAGTGCTTCCGGGCCAGCGGGCCATTTATAATGTCGAGCCCTGCTTAAGTGCAAGTTTGGTTGAAGCCTGATGAAAATACAAATGTCAAGCCTGCTGCACCGTGTGCAAGAAAACACTCAAATTATGATAAAGGCATTAGTCGAATCGGAAGTTCTTCATATCCGTTGTACTTTTTTTTTAGTATGGATGGGAAAAACTCTACTTTGCATTTTCATGATTTGCATTCATAATGATCCTAAAAAGGTCTTACATTTTTAAGCAGCAAGTCAAAACTCTGTTCACCTCTGATCTGCTTGACAACACAAGACCAACTATAATTGTTCTACAGACAGCTACGGATGACACCATTAGCCGCACTCTTCATACTGCTGTATCCGACTTGGTAACCTTATTCTGTTTTCTTGCAGAAGTGCAATAATGGAGCATGGCATGTGGGACCAGGTCAGAGTGGACCATGGAAAAGAGTTCTATTTAACTCTTTTTATGCAGGAGAAGTTAGCCAGCCAGCGACACAACACAACACAGAGAGGCCACCATACCGGCAAACTCCATCAACAAAGGTGATTCAGTTAGAAAACCGAGTTGTAATGTATACAGTCAAGCTAAGAATTGTACAACCCCTGATTATAATTTAGAGTTTTCTGCTTTTCAAAGTAAATTACAACATGTAATTAATTAATTAACGCTTTTCTTCATTATTTCTTCTTAATTGATTGCTAAAGGTAGATGATAATTATGAAATTGTGTGTAAGAAAGTACATTAATCTATAAAAAAAAAGCTTATATCTTCTATATTTTGCATTGACAGAATCATACAATCGAAAGAATTTGGCCTGAAATAAACAATAGGGTAAACTACCCGTTGAAACTGGCATTGATCCAACTTGTGGATCAGGAGGAGCTGGACATGGAGGACAACATGAGCAAATACTGCGTGTCATCCTTGACTTGCCAATTGGCCCAGCTCGGAGTTGAGCGTGCTGTGCAAGCATGGAATGCCCACAGGATTCCAGGTTTGTGTTAGGGTTTGTTTCTCAAGCAGAGATGTGATAAAGTCTAATCTAATTACATACACATATATTTTGAGTAAAAGGAAAGTCTAAAGCCATCTCAGAATTTCAAAATAATTCATCATGTCTTGACTTCACACCTCTGCTCTTAAGACTCTTTAAAAAAAAAATCAATGTATAGTTAAAGCAATGAATGTATCCTTTATGCTACACTTATTTTAGGGAAGGGTATACCCAATTACTTGGCAAGAGAGGGATGCCCGA